GTGTGTTTTTGGTTTGATTACATTATTGAATTAAATGTATTATATTATTTTTTATAATTGTTTATTATATTATAATTTATGATTTTGTGTTTCGAACTTTATCATACTCGGGATGTTTACTAGACTCTTGTTTGGACAGATTTGAAATGATTTATTCCTAAGAATTACAGGCCTACAATATAACACAACACATTTCCATGCAAAACAATGTACCGCTTTGACATTCATAAATATTGATAAGTTAGACCACCAGGAAGGTTAATGGGTAACCACAAGGATTAAATGAAAAGGCGACTTGATCTTCAACAGCTCTCGGAGGCAATTTAAATAGTTAAACCAGCTAATTCCTTGTAAAACAACAATAGGTACCCATAGCATATCAAGCTAGCTGATTAGGTAGCAGTTAATATAATAAGCTGGAAGCAGCAAGCACACCGAGATCATCAATGCAGACTGCATACCTCCCCTCCCCCTCTGTTCCTCACATGATGTATGAGACAGCGGCAGGAAGTGCTGAATACTTACTTGTAACATTTAGGGAGCATGCACCATCATAAGTTAATTATTGAGCCTCTTTTCCAGGTATGCCTTTTTGTTGTTTTAACTCTGTAGTGACAAGGTCACTTTAAAGGATAAGTTCCCCTTTCGGGACATGTTACATGTTCCACCCATGTTCCCACTCTTGCAGCTGCTACCCGCTCTGCTACATCTAGTGATAGCTAGCGTGGGACCTTCTCCCCTCACTAGCTGTCACTATTTTTCAAAAGATAGTGCGTCCGTGCGGGGCTCCATTGCGTCATTCATTCACAGAGTTCTGTGAATGTGAAAACTACAAGGAACAACATCCTTTGCGGTTGTCGGCTTGTAGTTCTCAATGAACTACCATGGCGTTGTTGAGCGCTGTGGTAGTTCATTGTCTCTTCCTGTCAGTGTGCATCTGCCTGCCCATATGAGATACGACCAGACAGATACACTAACTAGTGTGCAGGAGCCCTGCATGGCACCAGCGAGCTGCTGATTGTGGGTGCATTGCTTTACGAGTCCAAGTCAAAAAAAAATAATAAATGCACTTTTTTTTCAATCTGTAAAAAGATGTACATTTCTTATTTTTTTTTTTTATTTAAAGGTGAACTTATCCTTTAAATAATGATAGCTGCTTGGCTGTCTCTGGTGTCTCTGTTTCCAGATCCTGAGCAAATATACAGATCAGGAAACATGAAGAATTGTCAGAAGTCCTTATCTGTATTCTAGTTCTAGGTCATGACTGAATGAGTATTGATGGAAGAGGGTAAGGATGAAAGCCAAGCAACTGGCATTTTCAGGGGGGTCAGCAGTGGCAGCCTCCAGGTTTGGTTGACTTATTGGAAATCTTGTGTACATTAACCCAATAAGTGAACAATCCCTTTCACTGAGAGTACACACATAACCAGCCACACTAAAGAGTAGCATCCTTTCTGTAAAATGGTACAAGTATGCAGTTCAGCAGTGCAGACTTCATTTTCTGCATGCTTGCTGCAGGTAGAATGTGTTATGCCATTGAACGAGAGTGTTCTAAATTCTATCTAAGTAATCAGATTTAAATTGGAACTAAACCCATCAATTTAACAGTTAAAAAAATCAGTTGCCAGTAATGCTAACTGTTGCATTTGCTTTTGCTTTCAACCAAACTGTCAAACCATCTAATGGCTGGTGTCATAACTGATCACACGTAGAGCACCATGGCAGTTACAGGTCAAACAGAGGCTATGTCAGGGCTTGACAAATCCAGGCGCCAGGTCGCAATGGCGACTAGAAATTGCATCCTGATGTCTGGGTTCACACATTGCCTCCCATAGACCTCTATAGGAAGTCGCCTCCCATAGACCTCTATAGGAAGTCGCCTCCCATAGACCTCTATAGGAAGTCGCCTCCCATAGATCTCTGATGGAAGTCGCCTCCCATAGACTTCAGTGCAAAAACTGCTGTCAATAACATTCCTATGTGAACACTTATCTCCACCTGCCACTCTACTCTCACTTGCGAGTCTGAAATGCACCGCTACAAACTCACATATCTGTGAGTTTCAAAACAAACCCAGAATGTGTGAACCAGGGCGGCACCGTTCACACATGGGCGTTTTGGGATTGCAGCAGAATTGCTGTGATTGCAGAACGCATGTTCAGGTGCCATTATTTTCAATGGCGCCTAAAGCAGGATGAGGTATTGTTGTGTGGCAAATCACATTGTTTGAAGTCCCAGGCACTGACAACCCATGCTGAGCTAAAAAAAAAAAAACCCAAAAAAACTGGCTCCTAACTTATTTAGCTGGCTCCTAGATTCAAAGAATGTGTCAAGCCCTGGGCTACAATGGCAGCTTTCTTGGCTGTAAAGAATGGGTGAAGGATAAAGTGAGTCTACATATGGGCAATGCAATCTTCCCTTCCTCCTAACTGCCTTTCCCCTATCCAGTGAGACTGCCATTGGACAGGGAGGGGACAGTTAATGGAGTTTTGTCATGGAGTCTAAGATAGTCGGGCTGTAGTAGGAGAATAACTGAAATCAGAGTAATAGAGTATTTTCTAGGGAATAAAGGGGATAGCAGGCATCTTTTGTTGTCTGCTCTTAGGCCTCGTTCACACCATATGTGCATAAAAACTAATGGGAAAAGGGCACAGATTTCACTTGCAGAGACACAAGTTTCCATGCGCGTTTCAGTAAGTTATATACACAGTGCAGATTCCTGCATAGAAAAAATCTGCGTGTGATACTAGTGTTGTGGTGTGAACAGGGCACATAGAGAACAATTATTCTGTGCTATCACAGAATGTGTGCAAAAAAACTGACGTATCTGCACCATGGTATGAACAAGGCCATAACGTTCAACTCACTTCACCCCCCAAAAAACACTGATCAGCACTGCAGAAAACACAGATCGAATGCTGCTTTTCCAGCATGTCCCTTTAACAAAAGTTGGTCCCTTTAACAAAAGTCGGTCATTAGACCGACTTCTGTTGGACAGGCAGCTGTACACACTGCCTGAATGTTGGCTGGTTTCAGCTTAAGTCTCAGTCTGCAAAGGATAAGGATCTTAAGTTCATCCTCATAGCTCATTTTAAAATCACATAGGTTTTTTTTTTTTAAAAAGTATAGATCCTTATCTTGTTCTACTTTATGAATTGAGCCTCTAGACCAGGGGTGCTAAACCTGTGGCCCTCAGAGCTCACTGATGTGGCCTTAAACAAGGGAAGCGCATGCCCGGGGTTGGCAACCCAATGATTGCAATCTGGGCCTGCTGAGCCGCCATCCCAGAGCATCACAGTGCAGTGAGCCAGCAGTGGAGGGAGCAGGCGGCCGCGGCGGGAGCAAGAGCCACATAGGCCAATGCTTCCTCTGTAGCACTGGCTCCTGTTCCTGGTAGAGTGATATCAAGTACACACTGCCATTTAATCCATTCTAGTAGCTTGGAGAGCAATGCCAGCAGCAGCTGCAAGAGGAAAAGGTCAGTGTACACACACTGGGCATAATAGCTCTGGCAATGGGCATATTAGCGCTTCTAAAAGGGTTAACTGTTAGGTTGCTTATATACTGATCTTAGGGTGCAGAGCAGTGCACCTGCAGCTTTCATGCGGGTTAGCTGCAATGAGCCATAGACTTCTATTATATGCAGCAATTTTAGAGTGCTTTCAGAAAAACACACCCGCAAGAAGTAATAGAAGTCTATGGAAAAGTGCAGCTAACCAACAGGAAAGCTGCAGGTGCACTGTGCTGCACCCGCAGTGAGAGTAAACCGCAGTGCATCACTATGAAAGCAACCTTTATAGGGGCCTCAGGGCAGTAAGTGCTCATATACATTTTCCGTCTGGGGGTGGTAAAACCCCAATAAATCACTGTGGCCCATGATTGGTTACTAAATCACTTAAGTGGCCCTCTCTCTTTAGCCGCTTGCCTGCCACCCTATAGCAGAAATACTGCTGCAGGGCTGTGCAAAATCCTGTATGTGTGTATATTATTTATATATATATATATATATATATATATATATATATACACACGTGATTTTGCATTTCCAGGTAGGGGGCGCATGCGCCCTGCCCTTAGCGCCGTTGGCTACCTCAGCTGTTGATCACTGGGTCCTGGCCGGTGATTCCCCACCGGCATCGCTAAGTATCACTGACTGGGTAGTGGTCTGTGTGTAATCAATACAGATCTCACCCCTGTTAGCTCCTGCACACTGCTTTATATTGCTCTGCATAGCAGAGCAATACAAAGCAGTGTGGTGACACCGTAAAACACACACAGCACACAGTTAACCTTTTGATCGCCCCATATGTTAACCCCTTCTTGCCCAGTGACCATGCTTTTTATTAGCACTGATCACTGTATTAGTGTCACTGGGGATGTCAGTGACAGAGTTCCCCCTTTGTCAGAATGCCTGCTGCAGTCCCGCTATAAGCCGCTGATCACCACCATTACTAGTATTAAAAAAAAACAAAACAATTCCAGTATATATACCGTTATTTGTGAATGCTATAAATTTCACGTAAACCAATTAATTTACACGTATTGGGATTTTTTTTTTTTTTTTTATCAAAGACTTGTAGCAGAATACATTTTGGTCTAAATTCACAACAAAATTTGATTTTTTTTTAATTTTTTTTACTGGCCATGCTTAATGTTTATAGCACAAAAAATAAAAACCGCAGAGGCGGTCAGAACAACCAAAAGAAAACTCCATTTGTGGGAAAAAAGGACAAACATTTAATTTGGGTGCAGCGTTACATGACCACGCTGTATCGCAAAAAATGGCCTGATCAGGAATGGGGGAGGGGGGGGGTGGGGGGTTAAATCCTCTGCAGGGTAAATGGTTAAAAGATTGAGCACACCTGCTTTAGACTGTTGCTAAAGATGTCAATTGTACTTCAATTTAAAAAAATTTTGTGCATTTTGTAAGATCTTTGTTTTTGTTACGTTCGGTTTACAGATAATAGATGCAGAAGTGAAGAATACAACCTCATATTGCCATGATTTGTAGGAAGACTACAGAGATGGGAAGCAAGACCTGTATATACATGCTGCAAACAATACGGCAACTACATCCATGCATTTCTTTAACAGGGAGGAGTTTTCCTAAATTTACAAGGAACTATAGATTTGAAGCTCCACTTTCTCTGCTTTCAGTTACCAGTACTTTGAGACCAGCACTCAGTTCACTCACTGTACCCATAAGGTGTATTACTCATGAGACTTCACCATGTAATGAAGAAAGAAATCTGACACCTGATTGGATAGATGGACTGTTAAATGATTCCCCTGCCATCTCTGATGTTAATCATATTAGCCCTTTAGATGAGCAGATTATTTTGGAACCATGTGAACTGGCTAGTAGCCATAAAATGATAGCGTCTCCTATTATGATTGCTCTGAATAATTGTACTACTCCCAGGGATGTATTGAATGTCTTCTGGAGGCCCCCATACAAAAAAGATGAACTTGTTGAAGGTGTTCTAAAACTGTGGCATACATTCTTGGCACTTAACGAGAAACAGAAATTCATGGAAATAAAATTCATAGTTGGTCATCCACACTTTCACAATTTGACCCATGGAGTGATGAAGATAGCTCAAGACTTGTCACCTGGGGTTTTGATCCGGATGCTATATGTGTTTGTGCGTTTACGAAAAAAACAAAAGTCTCAGTTAATTTTGAATCTTCTGCTTATTTGCCAGGTTAGTTTAATCAATTATCTACATTTCAAATGTTTTGGGGAAATGCCAGTATTGAGAGGAGTATGGGCTTTCAAGAAAAAAAAAAAATGTTTGTATGTATGTGTATGTATATATATATGTATATGTGTGTGTGTATATATATATATATATATATATATATATATATATATATATATATTTATACACTCTCACCTAGGTGGATGCAGAGTCAATCTCCTCTATTGTGTTTCCAACCTCCAGGTAGGTGAACACATTGCTAGGATTTTTGTTTTTCTGTTGGTGTGGGTAATTTGTGGTTGCCTGCCTTTCCTCTCTGGTCTTGGGAGTTCTGCCTGTGGGTAGTGTCCCAGGGGATTGTTCTGTACAATTACACCAGAAGAGATCTTAGTTTTTTGGTTACCTGGATCTTGCTCCTGCCTTCTGGCTTGAGGACTGACTCCCGAAGTTCCTCTTTTAGCCCTCCCATGATGCGGTAATCCGGAGTAGGGGGGAGGTCTGCAGGAACCTAGGGGGAATATTCTGCCCATTTGTCCCGGCTTGCCTGTGGACGGTCCATGTAGTTCCTCTTCCTCCCAAGATGGCCACGGTGTGTAACTTCCGGCAACTGGGGTGTCCCAAGATGGCGACGCCAGCACTTTCGGCGGCTGGGGTGGCATAAGATGGTGACGCCTGCACTTTTAGCGGCTGGGGTGGCATAAGATGGTGACACCTGCACTTTTAGCGGCTGGGGTGTCCCAAGATGGTGACGCCGGCACTTACGGCGGCTGGGGTGTCCCAAGATGGCGACGCCGGCACTTACGGCACTTCCCAAGATGGCGACGCCGCTTACGGCGGCTGGGGTGTCCCAAGATGGCGACGGCGGCACTTACGACGGCTGGGGTGTCCCAAGATGGCGACGGCGACACTTCTGGCGGCTGGTGTGTCCCAAGATGGCGATGCCGGCACTTCCAGGGGGTGGGGTGTCCCAAGATGGCTACACCGGCACTTCCAGTGGTGTACCAAGATGATGGTGCCGGTACTACTGGCGCTGAGCAGTGCACCACGATGGCGGCGCCGGAACTTCCGGCGCGGAGCAGTGATGCACTTCTGGCCATGAAGTCCACGGTGTGCCATTTTTAAAATAGAAGAAGGCTGTAATAGACATGATGCTGGTCTTGCTAGAGAGTGGCTGTGGCCTCAAAAATCCTGTGTCCTGCAGCACGGAGGCCCTCATCTTCTCAACATGCAAGAAGGAGAGGTTGCGGAGCCAAAATCGGACGCCCCCAAGCCTAGGACAGCGACACAGCCTGCCACCTCCTCTGAAGGTTCAAGAGCCCTGGTTGCTCAGGTAGGGTTTTTCTGGCACCAGTGGTAGGGTAGTTAAGGGGGAGGTCAGTGACAAGGGTCGATATACTGTTGTGCGTTCTCTTTGTTTCCCCCTAGGACTCTCGTAAGTCAAAAAAGAGATGTGGCAGCTGTGGCTCCAGGCTGTCAGACTCCTACACAAAAAAGATTTGCGAAAGATGTGTTTTATCTGTGGCAGGCTCTGATTCGGTTTCCTTCATTAAAAATTTGAAGAGGTCCATGCGGGAGGAAATTATTTCTACTTTACGTTCAGTTAGATCCATAGTTTCTGAGGAACCATCTACATCTTCGTCAGCTTCCCTTCCTCTTGAACGTACTCCTGTTATTCTCCCTTCGGTAGATACTAATGTTACTGCTTCTGATTTGGAGGAGGAAGGGAAATCTCCTCATTCTTCAGGTTAGGTGAATTTGGAGGAAGAGTAAGGAGATTCTAAGGAAAATTATTCTAGCAGTTTTGTTTCCCTGTGGAGGAGACGGATCAGCTGCTAAAAGCTATTTATACATCAGAGCAGATTGAGGAGGAAACTCCCCCCTCAGTCTGTCCAGGATATGACGTATAGGGGTCTGCAGGAAGGAAAGAATAGAACATTTCCCGTTCACAAATCCTTTAAATGATCCTTAAAGAGTGGAAATATCCAGAAAAGAAGTTGTTTTTTTCCAGAGGGCATAAATGGAGTTTTCGGCTTGGTTCTAAGGAAGAAATCTTCTTTTAATGTCCTAGGTTGGATGCTCCTCTTTCTCAGGTTTCTAAGGATGCTGATTTGTCATTTGAAGACGCTCTGGTTATTAAGGACCAGATGGATAGAAAAGCTGAATCCCTGTTAAAAAAAGGCCTGGGATGATTCGACCTTTACCCTTGGACCAGCCTTAGCCTCCACTTGTCTCACCAGAAACCTAGATCTTTGTGTCGACAAGTTGGATGAACTTCATTCCACAGATACACCTATTGCCCAGATTAGGGAGGCTCTGCTCCTTATTTAATAATCAGTAGCCTTTTTAGCAGACGCGGCAGCAGAAGGTATTAGAGCCACCGCTGTTTTGAATTCTGTCTGTAGGGCCATTTGACTTAAGGCCTGGGATGGAGACTTATCTTCTAAGTCCAAACTTTGTGGTTTACCGTTTGAGGGCAGCCTATTATTTGGTTCAGGTCTCCATACCATTTTTTCTTATTCTACGGAAAGGGGTGGCAAATTTCTGATGAAAAGAGAGAATTTTTGGGTCCTTTCGGGGTAGGCAGACGAAAAGTCAGTTTGACCCCAGAAAGTCTCAGTTGGGAAGAAAGCATTGGGCTTTTAACAAGACCAAGGGAAAAGGGGGGGCCTTGTTTACTTCGAGAGACCCTGCCCTCGATACCGACAAGTGATGCCAGGCAGATTATCCCTTTTTGCTTACATTTGGGAATAGCGGGGGGTAAGTCCCTTTTTGCTTACATTTGGGAATAGCGGGGGCTAAGTCCCTTTTTGTTCTTCAGATTGTCAGAGAGTGATACAAATTAGAATTTGCTTCTCCCCCACCCTGATTATTTTTGGCAACTAAACCACCGAAGGACAGGGAACGGTCAGAGGCCCTTGTGTAAGTTATCTCACATTTGGCTTCTCAGGGGGCAATCGTTAATGTTCCAGTAAAGTATCAGTGCCAGTGTTACTATTCTCATGTTTTTCTGGTAAAGAATTCAGGATGGTTATCAATCTAAAGGGCCTGAACCATCATCTCGTTTGAGGTTTTGCTGTAAGGAATCTACTTTTCCAAGGGTGGTCTGCAGGATGTCTACCTCCATATTCCTATTCATCAGGATTACCAGAAATTTCTGAGATTTGCAACCCTTTCAGAGAAGGAAGAAGAACACTGGCAATTTCAGGCACTACCATTTGGCCTGGTATCAGCCCCAAGGGTGTTCACAAAAGCATTAGCGGAGGTCATGCAGAGCATATCTATTATTCTAGATTATTGAGTTTTGCACCCACAAAAGCGAAACTGAAATCTGATCTGAATCTAGTTCTCGCAGAGCTAGCCCCTTTGGGTTGTTTGATAAGCCGACAGAAGTCCAACCTGAGTTCTCAAACGGTAGAGGTTTTCAGGCTACCAGGTAGACTCTGTTTCCTAGAAGCTATTTCTAACTGAATCAAAGGTGCACAGAGTGATATCCTCAGTCCAGTCCCTACGGTCGCAGCATCTGGTAACCTTCAGGAAGATTATGCAGATTATGCAGATTATCAGGTTAATGACGGCAGCCACTCCAGGTGTCTCTTGGGCCCAGCTTCACTCAAGAAAGCTGCAAGCCTTTTTTCTAGCCTCCTGGGATCACAATCATGCTACCATAGAGTTGTAAATCTGATGCATGACGATTCTTTGGGACTGGATTGGTGGACAGACCAGCGAAATTTGTCTGGGGGTCGGCCCTGGGCTCAGGAGAACCTGATAAGAGTGATCATGGATGCCAGCTCCTGGGGTTGGGGGGCCCATTTGGGTCCTTACTATACTCTAAAGGATGCTTCCTTCCGTTTCAGAGAGCTATTAGTGGTAAGTTTGGCTCTAAGGGCCTTTGCGGATTCCATTCGCAATCAGGATTTGTTAGTTTTTGCAGACAATGTCACGACAGTGGCTTATTTGAATTATCAGGGTGGCACAAGATCTCCAGAATTACTTACACTAGCTCTGGATATTCTGTTTTTTGGCAGAAACTTGTCTGAAATCTCTGAAAGTGGCCATCTCAGAGGGTCAGACAATATTCTTGCTGATTTTCTCAGCAGAAACCCAGTACGGCAGGGGCAATGGGAACTGAATACAGATGTGTTTGCACAGATCTCGGATCAGTGGGGTGTCTGTTTGCCTCCTCCGGAAACACAAAAGTTCAGAACTTCTTTTCTCTAGAAAGGGAGTCTCGAGCCCTGGGGTAGATGCTTTGACACAGAGTTGGAACTACGGTCTTGCTTATGTGTTTCCTCTGCTGGTTATTCTTTGGCAGGTTGTTCAGAAGATCGCCCTGGAGGACTGCCAAGTGGTCCTCATGGCACCATGCTTTAGTATGGTTTGCAATCCTATTGTCTGTGTCCCCTCCATGGATTCTCCCGTACCGTCTGGTTCTGCTTTTCCAGGGACCAGTTCTCCATTCCAATCCTCGTGTCTTCTCTGGAAACTGAAAGGCGGATCCTCAAATCTAAGGGATGAGGGAAAAGATAATTCCGACCCTTCTAAACAGCAGAAAGTTCTGCAACAGGAAGATTTATGTGAAGGTTTGGAGAACCTTTCATTCCTGGAGATCTAGATCAGGGAGAGGTGATGCATCCATTTCCATAGTGCTAGATTTTTTGCAGGTAGGGGTGGAATGGGGGTTGGCAGTCAGTACCTTGAAGGTAGAAGCGATGGCCTTGTGTGTTTATTTGGATTGAAGATTCTCTTGTTATAAGGTTTCTATTGGCTAGGGAGAGACCGACCCCTAGGGTGCGTAAGATTGTCCCTCTGTGGGATCTGTCCCTGGTCTTGGACACTCTCACGAAGGCTCTGTTTGAGCCTGGTCCTGGTCAGACTGTTGACGTTTCTTTCCGGTAAGACGGCCTTTTTGCTAGCCTTTACATCAGTCAGGAGAGTGGGGGACTTGCAATCTTTTTCTTACAAAATTTAACCATTTTGGAGGACAGGGTCATTTTGAGACCTGATCCTATGTACCTTCCTATGGTTGCTTCTGATTTTCACGGTTCTCAGATAGTTACGTTGCCTTCTTTCTACAGCTCCCCCAAGAATGCGAAGGAGACTTTTCGTTTTTTAGATGACAGAACACATCATTGTTAGAATATTTGAGAGTGACCAGAGATTTCAGGAGATCTAGCCATCTTCTGAGTTTTTTTTTTTTTTTTCAGTGGTCCTAGGAGAAGCGTCTTTTTGCTTCAAAGAATTCTCTTGCCAGATGGATTCGTGAAACTATTTTGTGTGCATACAAGCGCTTGTGCCAGCAGCCTCCTATCAGAGTGTGGGCATTCTACAGCTTCCTGGGCAGAGAGAGTAGGTGCTTCATGGGAAGAAATTTCCATAGCGGCAGTTTGCTCAAATACCCATGCCTTTGTTAAACTCCACCGGGTAGAGTTTCTTTCTAGCCAGGACTAAGGTAGGAATTTTTCTTGCTATCCTCTCATGTAGCTGTCCTAAAAGATGCTTTTGGGAAAACCATGGTTACTTAGCGGTAACAGTCTTTTTTCGGGAGTTTTCCAGGACGGCGTCCTAATTCCCACCCTATGGTTTCCTCACATTGTGATGATGATATGATGTGATAGGGTATGGGTTTTGTTGTTGGTGTTTTGCCCTCGTGTACACTGATTATGGTCTTCTTTCATAATTACTGAGGAGGAGGGGGGAGGGGCTTATGAATTGTCTCTATTGTATTTTCTGTAGAGTTGGAGCCAGTATCTCTCCTGTAGCTGTCCTGGAAGACTCCCGGAAAGACAGTTACCGGTTAGTAACCATGGTTTTTCTTGGTGAGACATACAACAAAAGTCTAAATTGTATGTGGAGCTTTAGTTACATTGTATACACTCATTGTTTTACTTGAGCAAATTTATAATCTGTGTTTATGCATTTATAATTTATTTGAGTACACTTATTTACAATTTATGCATTATTCATTGCCTATTAGTAACACTAATTTATTTATACATTTTTCCTGATTTATAATTGTGGAATGCTGCACTAAAAGTTGTTTGCAATTGACCAAAAATTAGTTTGTGTGGGACACATGGATGTGCGGGCTGACAATTTACTGGGATTTAGAGTAACTGTGCAGTGATACACATTTTATATAATTACGTCTGGCTTTACTGCTGTTAGAGAATTCACCTCACTTCCTGCCTGGTAAAGCTTGTCTCCCCAGAACAGGAAGTGATAGAAAATCTTCCAAGCGGAGCCACGGATAGCAGAAGAACCTGGCAAGGGGTTCTAATCCTTCAGCAATTCCACAAAAAGTGGCTATAAATACACTTTTTTAATGAAAGCGATATATAAAAAGACAGGAAACAGGAGTTAAAATTGTATTAACATATTTTAGTAATTGGTTTAGATCTACTTTCATATTGAATTCATAGGATGAGCATGACGGCCAAGGAAAAAAACTTCCAGTATCTGCACACATATTTTTGTCATGCATATTTTCTTTATATTTTGCTAACCATACACAAACTTGTAGAATTATTAAATAAATCACTCGGCAACGTATAACCTACAATAACTCATGTAGTGAATACCCAACTTTTAAACCCAAGAAAAAGTCACACTTTCACCCTTGAAAGCAAATACTAATATAAAAACCTTCTTCCTTCACCTTAACTCAATAGATAAATCAAACCAAAATTAAAATAAAAATGAAAAAATTAAAGTCCCAAAAATCAAAATAAATTTTCAGTCCACCAAAATCTCTCAATCCTGTGTGTCCAACTTCAATATTTCCAGCATTCCGGACCCAATGATTACCTTGAAAAAATAATACTACAATAGTGTATTACCTTCAAATAAATGTATATACCTTCCAAACAAATAAGTATATACTATATTTGTGCAAAAATTATATTGACATAAAATAGATTCAACTGTAACACGTGAATCATGCAAAATCACTCTGTGTGCACTCCAATAAACTAATATAAAGTGACAAATTGTATACACTCAAAAAAAAAAGTATTTAAATTATTATTTAAACCAAATCAAATTAAATAAATAAATAGCAAAAATACATAAATAAATTAAATAAAGTGAACACTCCTTGACCACCTCTAAATGGCAAGAATGCATACAATTACTCTCATGGAGTATTATTAAGCTTTAAGGGATAATCAGATGTTATAGCAGTCACTTCCAAGCTCTCAATAACTGCATATAGGGTAAACCTTCAATTCTCCATAATCCTCATAAAATATAGAAAAGGCCCATGTAGAATAATGTAATATGTAATAAAACATTTAATGCAGCATCTTACATTAGGGACTTAGAATATTCAGTGATCAATTCCCATGATCCAGCCACAGTAACTTCCTGAGATCAAAAACCACGTTTTTCCAGTCAACAAAATGGCCGCGCCGCCACTTCCGGTTTTGCACAATTACGTCAGATGTCACGCAATAACCCTTAGGTCCCGCTCACACAATGCTGCTGTAAGGCCTCATGCTCTGCTTTCACAGGCGTTTGAGCTTTTTTTTTTTTTTTTTATTTCTGCCTCTAATCTCCCCTCCATATTGTCCTACAGTATGTGTCCATGTACACATAGGCTTTTACAGAGGCAGAAGAAAAACATCACTTCAAGAGTAGTGTTTTGACAGAAAAAAAATGCCTTATGCGCCCAAACGCAGGTAAACATATGTAAACTCATCTAAATGCACATTAATGCTAGGAGAGTGTAACGCTTTAGCGTGTTTTTTTTTCATTTCAGTGGCCAGAATAAATTAATCTGGTCAATTAAATGAATAAATGTGCAAGAGCTTGACGCACCTAAACATTAAAGAGACATGACTTAGGAGAGTGTTTTGTAGCTGCTTTTCTCCTGTCAGTTGAAAAGAATTTAGTAGAGCCCCAGTGTGTATGAAGCCTAACATGCGCATTAACGTGATGCAGCTCCATTTGTTCTGAATGACACCCCCAAAACACATTGCCAATGTACATGCCTTACAGTGCTCGGAGCTGCTAAAAATGCTTCTTGCACTATTATCTGTACACATTTACACTAAAGTGTGATCGGACCCTTATAGTGGTCTTGGCTAGGCAGGATTGGTTCGTATGGCAGTGCTCATTGTTGTTTTCCTAGTTATAGGATTGACATGGTATCCGCAAGTGTAATGCCACCATTGGCCATCCTTGGTTGTGTATGTGAACAAACTCTAGCCCTTGCATTAAAATGTTCTGTAACTGCTAAACCTCATCCTCCTCAGGTCCTTCAGCAATTTAGGTTGTCTATTGTGCATTCACATCAGGAAAGCAGCGTTTGCTTAATAAAATTTGCACCTGTTATTGAACCTACCTGTATCAATAAACATAAGGCCCCATTCACATTGGGTGGCCAGAGCATACAGAGGAAGCTAAATGTTGCCAATGAGCTGTGCTATGGCTTTGTACAGATTGACCATTTTGTGTGCAACCAGAAATGCCACTCTAAGGACAAAACCTGTCTGCATCCAGGGTCGGTCAGAGGCTATATTTTGCATGTAACTGCTCAGATGAGTGATTACATGCAAAAAGCAATGGCACCAGCCATTGATTTGTACAGAATTCAAATCTGACAGCTGCCCCACTGTATGCATGCAGCATGTAGTTCTTCCAGCAAGAACCCACTGATTCCCCACCCATCTGAATGTAGTGTAAAGGGAAATGTTGCAGCATTGAGTAAGTGAATGCTGCTTAGTCTGAAGCTGCTTTAAAAAAATTATTATTTGAAAAGTTTATTTCAAATGTATGTTCCCTGTATTTCTTCTTTTTTTAAAAAAACAAAGCATTTACATGATAATTATATTATAACCACAGACACCAACTGTAACCTGTCAAAGAAATTCAACAATTTCTCTTATGATGGGCAAGTAGCTTTTCTTGTTCATCAGTTTTGAAAAGTATTTGCATGGGTATGATTTTTTGTTTTCCCTCTTAATGTCTCATCTATTATAACTCTTTCAGCAACACCTGTCTAGCTTCAATGAAGTGGAACTTGCCATCTTGGCCAATACTTTGGAATGGCTAAGGAGTGACAAAAATGTGCGTTTATTAAAATTTGGTCTACGGTAAGAGTTTTTTTATAGACTGTGGAATTAGATTTTTGTTTGAAAACTGAACTCTGGGCTATGTAAAATCCACTATTTAGGGCAGCTCTGCATTCATTATAGCGGAGTTCCAGCTGAAAAACAAGTAAAAGTCAGCAGCTAAAAAACTTGTAGCTGCTGACTTTTAAAATACAGACACTTACCTGTCCCTTGGTCCAGTGGTGTCCTCACCACGGCTGGTTTCACCTTTTGTCTTCTCTCTCCAGCGCCAGCATCTTCAGTGTGGACACCCGGCTGTGACAGCTTGCGGCTTCACAGCCGGGTGCCCACTGCGCATGCACGAGAAGCGCTGCGCTTTGTGAATGGCCCCGTATTCTTCTGGGACCTGTCACGTGTCCCAGAAGACTGGGGAAAGAGGGGTGGAGGACAACTTCCACTTCCGATCGCCTAGGCGATCGCAGCGGAAGTGAGAGCGGGTACCTGTCAAATTCCGGTACCTGCTCCCCAAAGGTGCCAATCCTTTTGGGTGGAGCTCCTCTTTAAAGTGATACTAAACACATTGTTTAATTTACATTGTCCCGTCTTTCTGTATGTGGATGATGGCACTGTAATTAATTTAATTTAAAAAAAAACAACATCTAAGTATCTTTTTTTCCTAATCAATAAACAGCTGTCACATGACCCAGTTATTTCCCAGCCTGTCTGCAGGGAAACAGTGGCAGGAGGAGCTTCTAGCCCTCTGCTTCTGGTCATATATTAAAAAGAAAAAAGAAAAGAGCCTTTTGGATACAGAGTAAAAATAAATAATATCAATAAACTGTTTAAATTATCATACGAATATATATTTGAAACAAAATCTATATTATATTTTGGCAATAACATGGTGTGGTTGAATTTCTGCCAGTCACAGGCTGTGTCACGCCCCTCCGGCCTGTGTATTAGAATAACGGAGGTAATGCCTCCATCAATCAAGATATAATAGCCCACCCCTATGGAGTTTAGCTGTTTAGTGGGCATGGAGGAGGAGGGAGGGGATGGGCTGTCATTTACTACATGGGCCCACATATATATGTATACGCCCACATGTGCTCAGCATAGAAACTCACTGAAAACTGAGCATGTGCATTAGCTGCCCACACTGCTCTGCAATTTTCCCAACTGCATTGGGGACATGGACAGAAGGGGGAGGGGGGGGGGGGGTTAGAGAACAGAAGGATAAACCTGGTTTATTACAGAATACAGAAAACAAATCCCATAGTGACTGTGTGAGTATGAACAGCATGTAATACAGCATTTATTTTTATGATGTGGATTTAATGACACTTTAATATATCATTGAAATGCAATTTTTTTTTTGTACTTTCATTGACATACATATTTAGTGTTCCTTTGAGGGACACAGTAATTCCAAGATTGTTGGGTTATACTAACACCTATAGTAGGATTTTAACACTGGCAAGCAAAAGGTTAAAAAAGTTAGTGTTGTTGAAGACCAGTACCGAGATTATGCAACTAGACACAGAAGAGTGGGACTTAAGGTGTCTCTCAAGGAACTGAAAGAAATGGATTTTACGGTGAATACAAAAATATAATTTTTTTTTCATGTTTGTTGAGGGACAAAGAATTAAGCGACTATGGGGACATCCAAAAGCAGTCAAGCTAAGGGTAGGCAAAAGCAACGAAACTCTAATAAGCCAACAAAAAAATCCACCAGAGCATTAATTGCTTCCACCAGAGTATAATTTTACCTGGAGACAAACCTGCCTAGTTAAGGAACCTGGAGATCAAGAGGTCCACATCTAGCATCCCCACCTGTATCGCAGGTTCTGAAACATCTCCAGGTAAAGGGACCATTCCCCCAGGTCCATGTTCTACTCCTTATGGTAGTTTGACTGCCAGTTATCCATGCAGGCAAGGCTGGAACATTTAATTCTTCCTTGGACAAAATCCTGTCTACCTTTTTGTCATGGCAAGATTTTTGGTCTGCTAATCTGTGTGGTGACACAAGCAGGCTGGAACACATGAACCGAGGAGGGGGCTGAGAACAGAATCCTAGATTTGTAGCCTTTGGACATTACCTCCATGTGTCACTTGCATGCAGATGTGAGAAGATGCTTTCTCAATGTTTAAAGAGAAAGAGAGCATGGAGTGAACTTGACATTCCACCTATCAGCATTCCCTCAGTTGTAACCCTTTCCACGTCAAACCAATGGAAAGCAGAAAATGACACCCAACAGTCCTATTAGCTACAGTAGGTAGCCCCTGTTGGCTTAGCCCATATGGTCTACTTACAAAGTAAGTCTTCAGAAACAAGGTCACACCTGATGCTGTGTCAAAGCTTTGTACTTGGAAAACTCTCTGTGGCTTACTAAACACAATACACACAGATCTGGAGAGTGCCCAGTGCTGAACCCAATGCCTGAAAGGTCACCTTTCAGGATTGCCCTGCAGTCATACAATCAGATGGACCTGGGTACAACCTTCAAAGCTATTGCTGATCCAGATAGTCACGCAGCATCTTGTAGGGAACCTTGATTGAAGAAAAAAAGCTAGCAAAAAAAGCAGTCCTTCTGGGACACTTGCAAAAACTAAGGCAAGCTGGGAGAACAAAGGGTTTATACTGGGCTGACACTTTTTTTTGTTTGCCAGTTTCAAACATCTTCCTGTAGACAGTTTAATCCAAAGGTCTCTGAATTCCTGTGTCCCTCAATAAAGGCTAAAAAAATATACATGTATATACAGTATACACACACTCACTACTGTGCAAAATCAGAAATGTGAAAAGCTGTAATTAACCACTTAAATAGTGGGAACATTCACCCCTGCCCAGGCCAATTTTCAGCTTTCAGTGCACCTTCATGCAAAACTGTACCCAAATGACATTTTTATCTGTGAGACCAATAGAGCTTTCTTTTGGTGGTATTTAATCACCACAGAGTTTTTTTGCTAAACAAACTAAAAAAGACCAACATTTTTAAAGGAAAACAAAATTCTTAGTTTCTGTTATAAAATGCTGTAAAGTGTTTATTTCTTCTTCACTGATGTAAGCTGATGAGGCTGCACTGATGGGCACAAATGAGACTGTACTGATGAGCACTGATAGGCGGCATGCTCTCCTTTCCTCACACAGTGACAGTGTGTGAGGAAAGGAAATGCCAGATATCAGTGTTTACTTGGGATCAGCTGTGATTGGATACAGCTTATCACCTGGTAAAGGGCCACTGTGATTGGCCCTTTAGCTTGGTCTGTGATCATTTGTGTTTAAATGACATGATGGTCACAGACTTCGCCTGATATGTGTTCTGGGAAGATGTCCATAGACGCCTTCCCAGAACAAGACAGCTACGCTGTAGCCGTATTTTCGTCTGTGGTGCGGTAATGGGGGGGGGTTAAGAAAGCTTTCAGAAATAGAAGTGTTAATAGTTTATTTTTTATCAACTAACAAACTGGAAATTAAATGAACAGAAGAGAAACCCAAATCAAATCAATATTTGGTGTGACCACCCTTTGCCTGCAAAATAGCATCGATTCTTCTAGGTACCCTTGCACATACAGTTTCTGAAGGAACTTGGCAGGTAGGTTGTTCCAAACATCTTGGGGAACTAACCACAGATCTTCTGTGGGTGTAAGCTGCCTCACATCCTTCTGTTTCTTCATGTAATCCCAGACAGACTCAATAATGTTGAGATCAAGGCTTTGTAGGGAGCAAAACCTTGACCTTAGGACTCCTCGTTCTTCTTTATGCTGAAGATAGTTCTTAATGTCATTGGCTGTATGTTTGTGCTCGTTGTCCTTTTGCAGAATAAATTTGGGGCTAGTCACACTTCCCTGAAGGTATGGCATGATGGATAAGTATCTGCCTGTATTTCTCAGAATTGAGGATACCATTGTTTTTGACAAAATTTCCAACTCCATTTGCAGAACTGCAACCCCAAACTTGAAAGGAACATCCACCATGCTTCATGTTGCCTGCAGATACTCATTATTCCACTACCCTTCAGCCAACAAACTACCTCCCACTACATTCCACATTTTGACTAATCAGTCCATAGCACCTGCTGCCATTTTTCTGCACCCAAGTTCCTGTTTTTGTGCATAGTTGAGTCACTTAGCCTTGTTTCGACATCGAAGGTATGGCTTTTTGGACACGATTCTTCCATGAAGACTATGTCTGGCCAGACATCTTGAGATAGTAGTTGGATGTACCTGGGTCCTACTGGTTTTGCTATTTCTGTGCTGACACTGCTGGATATCTGATGTCGAAGGGAAGTAAACATGATGGGGTTTATTTACTAAAGCTGGAGAGTCCAAAATCAGACTCCCTTCTGCATAGAAACCAATCAGCTTCCAGGTTTCATTGCCAAAGCTTCATTGAACAAGCTGAGGTTAGAAGCTGATTGGTTTCTATGCAGAAGGGAGTCTGATTTTGGACTCTCCAGCTTTAGTAAATAAACCCCGATGTGTCTTTTCTCTGCTGCATTGTTTCCTTGGCTGGCATTGCTTGTTTCTTTGTGCATCTTCAAAAAGGCTTGAATAGCACATCTTGAAACCTCAGTCTATTTTGAAATCTTTGTCTGGGAGAGACCTTGCTTATGCAGTATAGCTACCTTGTGTCGTTTTGCTGTGTTCAGTCTTGCCATGACTTATGACTTGTGATATGAAACTGTTCCACAACCTCACCTTAGTAGCAGAGTATGGCTGTTCCTAATCTAGTTTTAAGCTTCATACACAGCTGTTTCTGTTTCAGTTAACTACTGTGTTTCAGCTACATATGAAATTGATGATCATTATCACCTGCTTGGAATAATTGGCTAATCATACACTTGATCCTTAATCCTGCAAAATCCCTGACTTTGTGCAAGTGTAAAATGCTGTGCAAACTGTTGGCGCTATATAAGTCCTGTATAATAATAATAAGTGTACAACGTGTGCAAGTATAAGAATTGATGCTGGTTTGAAGCCAAAGGGTAGTTGCACCAAATGTGGACTTGAATTAGATTTTTATTTGCTCAGTTTGCATTTTGTAAATTGATAAAAAAATACAATGAAAATATAGATTTTTTTTTTTAAGCATTCTCACGGTACAGCATTTCTTCACACCTGCCTAAAACATTTGCACAGTACTGTATATACACTCACCGGCCACATTATTAGGTACACCTGTTCAATTGCTTGCTAATACAAATTGCTAATCATCCAATCACATGGCAGCAACTCAATGCATTTAGGCATTGAGACGTGGTGAAGACGACTTGCTGAAGTTCAAACCGAGCATCAGAATGGGGAAGAAAGGGGATTTAAGTGACTTTGATTGTGGCATGGTTGTTGGTACCAGATGGGTTGGTCTGAGTATTTCAAAAACTGCTGATGTACTGGGATTTTCAGGCACAATCATCTCTAAGGTTTACAGAAAATGGTCCGAAAAATAGAAAATATCCAGTGAGGGCAGTTGTGCGGACAAAAATACCTTTTTGATGTCAGAGGAGAAAGGGCAGACTGGTTGCTGTGACATTTAGATGGTAATGTTAGAATTTGGTGTAAACAACATGAAATCATGGATCCATCCTGCCTTGTATCAACGGTTCAGGCTGGTGGTGTAATGGTGTGGAGGATATTTTCTTGGCACTAGCAAGGTGTACCTAATAAAGTGGCCGGTGAGTGTACATACTATTTAACCGGGTAGAGACCACACTTAGGCTCATTTAAAGCTAAGGAGTGAACACCATCATAATCACTGTTCTAAAGGGTATTGATCATAACAGTATTATGGCCTATTCACACTTAACCATTTTCATGCATTTTGCTGCATGTTGCTGCAGTTTAGTTTGTTTTGAAAAGGAAGCCTTTATGGGCCAATTAATTCCTATATGTTTGTTATCACGCACATAGAGCTAGGCAAATCCAGCCTTAATTCTTAGAAGGGGGTATAATCTATCTATCTATCCTTTTGTTAGGCCACTCCCTACGATATAAGCCATATCCATAGTGTTTTGATGCCGCATTCTTCAGTTGTTATTAGGCCAATATCTTAGCTTAGGTTAGTTTAGACAAGTTTGCCAGGCACAGCGTTAGCAACTCATTGATTTTACTTTATTTTCTTTATGCTCTTTACTGGTTTTTCTAACAAAATGTATGACTCAAAATAGCAATGACAGAAGTGTAAAAAATGTGTTTCTCACCTAGCTTGATGATAGATATGAAAATTGAAGAGGTTAATGAAGTAACTCCATTTTTGACCATGATGAAAGCCGTTGGAAGAACTGCACCATTAAGCCTTAAATTAAAGCTGGAGGTAAATGCAAGAGCTAAATGACTTGTGTTAATGTCCACTACGGCAGACTCTAGTCCCTTATGTCTGACATACTATTTTTAAGAGCAGAATTAAAAGCAACAGTTGCAACAGTGTTTCAATAAAGGCTAAGTTCACCTTTTTTGGAGATAAAAAAATGTGCCTTCATTATCTTTTTCTCTTAGTAGCCCACAGAGCATTGAACCCACAATCTGTGGATTACGGCTGCAATGTCTAGAACCTGCACAGTCTTCCTACAGCTCTGTGCCTGTACCTTTTGTGCAGGCTGTCAGTTTCGAAGGTCCAATGGACCTCATAATCCATTGAAACTACCAGTCCACCTTCCACTGTGACATATAGGACCTTTAGTTTATTAATTCACAGATTCCTGTGAATGAATGATGTGGCTGTGCAGGCTCAATTTTTATTGTGCTACAGAATATTCCATGCGTCTAGTTGTATTTTTCCAAACATGCAAGTGTCACATTTAGGAAAATGCAGCAGTAGGCGTGTAATCGCAATCACCGGCATTTACAAAAGATTTCAGGCACACAGTGTATTTTAACAGTTTAACAGCATTGCTCTTATATTACATAAAACATAACTCCTATTCATGTGCTTCAAAGTTCAATAAAGTGAAATGAGTGCAGTCCATAAATAGATAAAGTACAGTCCAATAACAAAAGTACAACAGTGAAATCGACTTTTGGTTGGTGCAGAAATTATGCTGTGTTCCCCTCCTTTGTATCCCCACTCACCCACTGGTGTGGACTCTTATTGCCAAGAGTCAATACTGCTTGGATAAAGAACTTTTCTAAATGTCGATTCTCTTTTCTTCCATTTTTCCAGTACTCCACCGAATTCCCAGGTGTTGGTATATAAAAGGATCATAAAGCATACATAGTGTAATTCAGTATTATTGTATTAAAAAATTAAAATCAAATTCCACTCACAAAGTAAAGTTAAAGTAAAGCCTATATACCGAACCGAGAAAACCGCCGCAGTGTGCGCTCCATCGGCCGGACGTGACATCACCGAAGTCCACACCTAATGCGTTTCGCCCCTCCCACAGGGCATTTTCAGAAGCTGGGGCTGCCAGTGATAGGTGCTGCTTTTATGTCACTCACCGCCTTTTATGTCACTCATTTACTTTTCCTCCCATGGCCATATTGGTGCACCAGTCAGTGTACTCCCATGTGTACTATTACGATCGTTATCAACAAAAAATAAAACTTCAACATTTGCATATACAACCTACCCTATAACCAAATTCATGCAACACGATTTTTTAAATGCATATTTATAATTCACATAATTTACAATCTTATACATAAAAAACATTAAACTACTAAGGCTACCCAGTTCAACTTGTCAGTCAGCCCCAGTCTAACAATGGCTTTTCCCAAGGAACATGGATAGGTATAACTTATCTAAGAGGGGGATAAGATAGCCAGTTCAACATGCCAGCCAGCCAACAACCAAATTAACCTGTCTAACAATATGCATTTAAAAACGGGTTTAGTTAGCACACATTTGCAAATACATACGTAAGACACAGAGCCACATTACGGCACCCAAAATATTCTGTGGTCCTAACGCTACAATTTTTGGAGTCCTCATAGTAGAGGCACATGTATTTAATGGATAGACCAAGGGCAGGTGATCCGAGGGAGCCCACCCTTCCTTAAAGGTACAGGAGCAAAAAGGACACCCAGCATATAGCACAATGGCAGCCAGGGTATCCAATACACCCACAGACCTCCATTGCATTGTGTGAAAGAAGTGGGTCACCGCCCTGGTCTATAACTGGCTTTTTCAACGGTGAACATGGACGGGCATTAAACATAAACTACTAAGGCTACCCAGTTAAAATTTTTGAAATGTTGAACTGGCTATCTTATCCCCCTCTTTGATAAGTTATACCTCTCCATGTTCCTTGTGAAAAGCCATTGTTAGACTGGGGCTGGCTGACAAGTTGAACTGGGTAGCATTTAGTAGTTTGTTTAATGCCCGTCCATTTTCACCGCTGAAAAAGCCAGTTATAGACCAGAGCGGTGACCCACTTCTTTTTTTCACATATAAAACATTACATACATAATGTGTTCATATATCCTTTCACTACATATAAAGCATTAAATGATAAAATAATGATTAATAGTTTAACTTATACATTTCTACATTTAAACCTCTGGATGCCACCGTATCTAAATAATAAATCCACTTGGTTTCATTTTGTGAAACTGCTATTTTCATGTTGGTACCCCTCCAATGTTTTTCAATCCTATCTATACCACATAATATCAGTTGTAACACCCTCTTTTAAATTCCCTCTACACTAACAAAAAACAAAAAGACGCCTTAGAAGCAGTGAACTGGGCTTTAAATAATGAGACTAAATTGAATAATAATCAAATAGAGTTTATGTTGCAGCTGTTAGAATTATCAATGGGAGGCAATTACTTCTGGCATGGCAAAGGGTTCTATAAACAAAAGAGAGGAGTTGCAATCCGAGCTCAATATGCTCCGACATTGGCAAATATATTCATGAACAAATGGGAAGCGGAAGAAATTGATGAAAAGAGATGAAGATGTACCTAAGGTACATCGATGATATATTTCTAGTATGGGAAAGAACAGAAATACAATTAATGGAGCTCTTAGAAGAAATCAATACAAATAATTATGGCATATCTTTCACGGCCAATTACAACAAGGAACTGGTCAACTATTTGGATCTAGAAATCTTTACACAAGGTAATAGGATGTACACACGAACACATTTTAAAAGCACAGATCACAATGCTTATATTCCAACTATTATTGGCTACTATCCTAAATGGTTAGGTGCAATACCCAAAGGTCAATTGATGAGGATAAAAAGAAATTGTGATTTAGAACAGAATTATGAGAAACAAGTAGACACTATTATTGATAAAACAAAAAGTTACCGAGCGCTAGCTAAGGTAGCAGCAAATGCACCAAAGAAGGAACTACAAATCCTCTCTTAAAAACTTAAAAATGCAAAATAATAGTGCAGCGCATGAGTATGTAAATTAGGATAAAAACACAGAAATTACACAGTTCATATAAATCGATATATAAGTCTAAAGAATTGGTGGATAAATGATGTAAAAAAGTCACTTCAAATAGATGATGTTCCAGAAGGTGATAATTAGCCAGGGAAATAAACACAATCCAGTGGTGTGCGATATTATAGCGAGATTGCAAACTCACCAGAAGTGCTATAATAATGCACATATAAGGATGTAATCCAGCTTAGGGGACCCCCATCAACTGAAACCTGGTCTGGTCTGGAAGTTGTCCACCTCTGATCGTATAGGCAATTAAGAATGATGTCAATCAGAGGTCCCTCTCCGGGGTCTTATGGATAGGTCTGATCATAAAGTGTGTTCCATCCTCCAAATTGGATGAAACCTAGATCCTGGGGGTTAAGTGCTCAGGATAGAGCCAAAAAGAAGGGGGAGGTCTCATAGTGTAGTAAATAATAAAGACAAATGCAAATAGCTTGTGCTGGCAATGTTACTGACCAGTCCCAAAGTTGTAATGGCCGCCGGACCTCCGTGATCCGGCGGCTTGGTGTCTCTGGGTAGTGATTCACCCCTCCTGAATACATATCATTATATGAAACGCGTTAAGGAGGAGCCCCACTACCCAGAGACACCAAGCCACCGGATCACGGAGGTCCGGCGGCCATTACAACTTTGGGACTGGTCAGTAACATTGCCAGCACAAGCTATTTGCATTTGTTAGGATGGAACATACTTCATGACTAGACCTACAGTGGGGCAAAAAAGTATTTAGTCAGCCACCAATTGTGCAAGTTCTCCCACTTAAAAAGATGAGAGAGGCCTGTAATTGGCATCATAGGTAGACCTCAACTATGAGAGACAAAATGAGAAACAAAATCCAGACAATCACATTGGCTGATTTGGAAAGAATTTATTTGCAAATTATGGCGGAAAATAAGTATTTGGTCACCTACAAACAAGCAAGATTTTTGGCTCTCACAGACCTGTACCTTCTTCTTTAAGAGGCTCCTCTGTCCTGCACTAATGACCTGTATCAATGGCACCTGTTTGAACTTGTTATCAGTATAAAAGACACCTGTCCACAACCTCAAACAGTCACACTCCAAACTCCATTATGGTGAAGACCAAAGAGCTGTCGAAGGACACCAGAAACAAAATTGTAGACCTGCACCAGGCTGGGAAGACTGAATCTGCAATAGGCAAGCAGCTTGGTGTGAACAAATCAACTGTGGGAGCAATAATTAGAAAATGGAAGACATACAAGACCACTGATAATCTCCCTCGATTTGGGTCTTCGCAAGATCTCACCCCGTGGGGTCAAAATGATCACAAGAACGGTGAGAAAAAAATTCCAGGACCACACGGGGGGGACCTAGTGAATGACCTGCAGAGAGCTGGGACCAACGTAACAAAGGCTACCATCAGTAAACACACTACGCCGCCAGGGACTCAGATCCTGCAGTGCCAGACGTGCCCCCCCTGCTTAAGCCAGTACATGTCCGGGCCCGTCTTAAGTTTGCTAGAGAGCATTCGGATGATCCAGAAGGGGATTGGGAGAATGTCATATGGTCAGATGAAACCAAAATAGAACTGTTTGGTAGAAACACAACTCCTCATGTTTGGAGGAGAGAGAATGCTGAGTTGCATCCAAAGAACACCATACCTACTGTGAAGCATGGGGGTGGCAACATCATGCTTTGGGGCTGTTTCTCCACAAAGGGACCAGGACGACTGATCCATGTACAGGACAGAATGAATGGGGCCATGTATCGTGAGATTTTGAGTGTAAACCTCCTTCCATCAGCAAGGGCATTGAAGATGAAACGTGGCTGGGTTTTCCAACATGACAATGATCCCAAACATACCGCCCGGGCAACGAAGGAGTGGCTTCGTAAGAAGCATTTCAAGGTCCTGGAGTGGCCTAGCCAGTCTCCAGATCTCAACCCCATAGAA